TGGTAAGAGTCATTGGGAATGCAGTACAATATAGAGGTCTCTGATTTATTACATATTGTACATCCTGAAGAATGGCACTCAGTACTTTCAGAGTGCTGCTCCTAATTGGTGCATCAGTGCCATTTAGAAGGCATTTCCACAGTCTGTCAGGTCAGCTGCTTCTGGAGTGTGAACTATGTGCAGCAGTGTGTTGCAACTAGCTCATACAAACTCACACATTTTCAGAAGATTTCTACCTGGTTGACATCATGTTGGAAGCTTACATCTGGCATGCAGAGGCTATATCATGTAAATTAGAAAATGCTATAAATCTCTTTTCTCCCCCAGGACAGTCAAATTTAAATATTTATCAGCACATCACTGAGTATGTGATACTCTCACCCATTCTTCACTGTAAAGTGGGTGCCCTGATTGATATGCTCCGTAGGATTCTGTGATTGTGGGTCAAGTATTCCCTAAACCCCAGTTAGTATTTATGACTGAGGCCCTGTGGGAAAGAAAGCCAAGCCCATACCCAAACCAAAAACCAAACCCATTGCCATTGAGTCAATTCCAACTCATAGTGACCCTATGGGACAGAGTAGAACCACCCTATAGGGTTTCCAAGGAGTGCGTGGTGGATTCGAACTGCCAACCTTTTGTTTAACAGCCAAACTCTTAACCACTACTCCACCAGGGTTTCCAAGCCTATACCCTGAATAGGTATATATACCTGGAAGGAAGAATCACAGACCCTTGCTTAATAGAAGAGGCCCAATATAGTCAACTTGCCACCAAGTGAATAGTGCCATACTGGGGGGTCAGTGTTGGGCTTTATGTTTAGGAAAAAAAGACAATGTGCTTTAAATTGTGTTGACTACTGATTTACATGGCACTCCATGAAAACGCATAGCTGATAATAATATTTTAGATGTAACACATCTGAAATGGTGCCAGACTGTCTGCAAAAATTATGGCTGTCTTTTTCTTTTTTTTTTCCTTGTTCTTTCCTTTGTTCATTTCAACCACCTAGATTAACAAATATAATATCAGTAGGGAAGTCAACTGAGATTATGATTCCTTTAGTTGAACGTTATAAGTATTATAGTAAAATGAACAGTTTAAATTGTACTTTGGTAGATTTCCAACATTTCACCCATCACTGGACCACTAGTGATGTTTATTTACTTCCTCAAACTATGAAGGATATTATAGTTAAAAATGAAGTTATTGTTTCAGAATTTCTAAATGTAAAATATAAAGTTATAATTCCAAAATTATTTTAAAGATAAATTCTAAAGAGGAATATAAAATTACATTTGATGTTCTGATTTCCTAGGCCATTTCTAAGTTAACTTAGAGACAAAGTATTATGTTTCTAAACACAAATTTACTTGAAAATAAAACTGATTCAGTAATATATACTATAAATAACTTCTCATAAAAAAGGTATTAATTTATTTCAAAACTATTAATTGTCTTAATTTATTCATTTAATAGCCACATATAAACAGTAGCTGCTCAGTGAAAAAAAGACAATATTTAAAAAAATAGAGATTACAAAAGCAAGATGGAAATAACTGATAGCGGCTTTGGCAAAAAAGCAAATTATGAAATATATCAGGTTTTAAATATGTAAGAATCATTGCTTTCAGTTCATAGTCAAAGTATTTCATGATTTAAACTCTTCATGTTAGTACTTTTTATTTTGGTACATATATGTTACTAAAGAGAATGTCCAGTGTTCTTATCAGCATTGGGGAGTTCTGTAATAAGCAAACTAATAAATAAATGAAATTTCTGTTAATATATATTGCAAACAGTACTTTTTATATTTTTCTATTAATTTGTTTGATCTCTAGTGAGTCTAGACATTTTCTCAAAATTTATTTGGTGTATTTTTTTTCTTTTGTCAATTTTTGGTTAGCATCTATTCCTCATTTATCTATTGAGTCATATTATTTTATTTCTCAATACGCCTGAGTTTTTATTACATAAGATATGTTAACTATGTTATAATTGTGAAAATATTTTTTCTTTAATTTTCCTTTCAGTTGTTTATATTGCTTTTGAGTTAATTAGGTTAACTAAAGAGGTAGATTTCTCCTGGTTATCCAGTTATTTATCTGACCATTTATTTTCAGAGTCCTGAGTACCTATTATTTCTTGCCTGTACCTTAACTGTTGGTGTTTTTCAGGAACTTTTATTTTATGCTTTTCCCAGGGTGATAGAAACTACACCCAGCTTCAATCTGTGACCAAGTGCTGGTGACCCTCACATTTATATTATCATCTCAAATGTCTTCTGCGCTCTAGCCATCTGGATGTTACTCACACACCTCAAATAAAAGTAGCCCCACATTATACCTGTCAACATCCTCTACCCCTGTAAATGTGCTTATATGAAGTTAACAGCAACAATCATCCAGTATAATAGGCTCAAACTTGTTTTATTTCAAATACTTTCTCTCCTCTACCCTCTACCCCTATATTATAAATGTCTCTTAAATCTGCCATTTCCTCTTCTTTCCATCTGCCACAGCATTTGTTCAGATTCCCTTTCTTTTATCAGAGAGACTAATTTCTTTAAAATCCTTCAAAATTATCTTGTACATTTTCTATACTAATTATTATATTTATCTTCCACTTATCAAATCAACTCTAATGTATTTGTAGAAAAATATAATTAAGTTTAATTATTTAATGAAATACTCACAAAAAGGTTTTGAGAAATATGTTCGCTACTACTGGTTTCTGGTATTACTAATATTTAACTTTTAATAATTAAATAAAATCTGTATTATTATGTTTATTAGCAAAAATAAATCTGTCCTAGAATTATCTATCTTAATGGAAGCATTGATCTTACAAATGTTCTTGATAAAATAACCTCACAATTAGACTAATACTTTACTGTTGTGTGGTTACATTTAAAATCAATGATGTTAGTAATGCCTGTGCTACTCAACAGTCATTCTAAATTCCTGACAGATATCAGTAGATGATAATAAACAGCCAGACCTTGACATTATTAAATGATACATGAGACAGTTATGCTAATTTAGCCTTTGACTTATCCATCATTTACCATTCAAAGTCTCTTTTGAAATAAAATTGCAGTTCTATTATGTTACAAAATGTGGCTCTATGCCTATATTTTTATTAAAAAGTCATTAACTTTTAAGAGAAATCACCCTAAAATTTAATCTCTATTTGATTCCAGATTGCAAGTATAAATAAAACATGAACTGTGTATTTTACGTCAGTTAATTTTACAAATCTCACTAAGATTTTAAATACAAAATGATTATCATTTGTTATTTATAATACATGAAGAAAGCCTATCTTTTAACATTGTCATAGTATAGTCATTGTGATAGTACATATATTTATATATCTATCTATATAAATAGATAGATAGATTTAAAAAAAAAAAAAAACCTTTTGAGTCAATTCTGACTCATAGTGACCATATAGGACAGAGTAGAACTGCCCCATAGGGTTTCGAAGGAGTGGCTGGTGGATTTGAACTGTTGACCTTTTTGTTAGCAGCTGTAGCTGTTAATCACTGTGTCACCAGGGCTCCATATATATATATACACACACACATATATATATGTTGCTAAGTGCCATTGAGTCAGTTCCAACTCATAGCAACCCTATGTACAACAGAACAAAACACTGCCTGGTCCTGCGCCATCCCCACAATCATTATTATGTTTGAGCCCATGTTGCAGCCACTGTGTCAGTTCATCTCCTTGAGAGGCTTCCTCTTTTTCAGTGACCCTCTACTTTACCAAGCATGATGTCCTTCTCCAGGGACTCGTCCCTCCTTATTACATGTCCAGTGTATGTGAGATGAAGTCTCACCATCCTTGCTTCCAAGGGGCACTCTGGATGTATTTCTTCCAAGACAGACTTGTTCATTCTTCTGTTCAGTCCATGGTATATTCAGTATTCTTTGCCAACACCATAATTCAAAGGCATCAATTCTTCTTCAGTCTTCCTTGTTCAGTGTCCAGCTTTCGAATGCATATGAGGTGATTGAAAATATCACGGCTTCGGTCAGGCACACTTTAGTCCTCAAAGTGCCATCTGTGCTTTTTAATGCTTTAAAGAGGACTTTTGCAGCAGATTTACTCAATGAAATATGTCATTTGATTTTTAGACTGCTGCTTCAAAGGGCCTTGATTGTGGATCCAAATAAAATGAAATCCTTGATAATTTCAATATTTTCTCCGTTTATCATAATGTTGCTTATTGGTCCAGTTGTGAGGATTTTTGTTTTCTTTATGTTGAGGTGTAATCCATACTGAAGGCTGTGGTCTTTGACTTTCATCAGTAAGTGCTTCAAGTCCTCTTCACTTTCAGCAAGCAAGGTTGTGTCACCTGCATGCAAATTGCAAGTTGTTAATGAATCTTCCACCAATCCTGATGCCACGTTCTTCTTCATATAGTCCACTTTCTCAGATTATTTTCTCAGCATACAGATTAAGTATGGTGAAAGGATACAACCCTGTTTAATTCTGTTGTACATAGGGTCACAATGAGTTGGAACTGACTAGACACTTAACAACATACACACACACACACAAGTATATATATATACCACACACAAAAAAAGCAAAACTGCCATGAGTCGATTCCTATTTATAGCAACCCTGTAGGACGGAGTAGAACTGCCCCATTGTATTTCCAAGGCCATAAGTCTTTACAGAAGCAGACTGCCACATTTCTCCTGTGGTACAGCTGGTGGATTAGAACCGCTGAACTTTTGCTTACCAGTGGAGCGCTTAACCACTGCATAACCAGGGCTCCTCATGTATATATATATATGTACATGTATATAAATGTTGTTTTATTTTGCAGTGAATAGAAATGACTGAGGATTTTAGAGATAATAAAATGATGGTTGTTATTTGTGAGAGTGAGAATAGAAAGGATGAAAATTTTACTATGGAAATTTCTCAAGTTATTCTATACCACATTGGGATGGTTGCTTTCTGTTTTGCTTCATACAGGTAATTAAAGCAGTAGAAGAAGGTTACCGTCTGCCAAGCCCCATGGACTGTCCTGCTGCTCTCTATCAATTAATGCTAGATTGCTGGCAGAAAGATCGAAATAGCCGGCCCAAGTTTGAGGAAATAGTCAGCATGTTGGATAAGCTGATACGTAACCCAAGTAGCTTGAAGACACTGGTTAACGCATCAAGCAGGTAAAAGGCCAACCTGAGAGATTGTCCTGAGTGTAACTAATTCAGATTGATGCCACAAATATTTTTTCAATAATATAACTTCTGTATTTTTACTGTTAATCTAAATGACGTTAATTTATTTGAATATAATTTTTGAACATTACTTTCTTATAATGAATAATATATAGCACTGACATATTTTAAACCAGAGATCTCTTTGATGTCTTTAGAATTCATTTCAGCATCTGTCACGGATGATGAACATTAACAACTCCTTTAGGGACCCTTTTGCTCTTATACAGTTGTACACAGATATTTGGTGAATCATTCTGAGTGCAATTTGATCCAGACTTAAAACTGATAAATTAGTGAGCTTATGGAGAAAATTTGTGTGAGCAAATGAGCGTACTTTTAGTTTTCCAAATGAAACATGAATGTATCTAAATAATATTACATATTTGTAAAGTATGCTTTTCCACTTAATCTGAAAAAATTACAGAATTATCTTCTCAAAAAATGAATCCGTCATATTCAGTACTTGAAAATTCACTGTATTTGAGACAGTTATCTATTTTTGTAAGAAATAGTGTCATGAAGATAACTGAATTGGCTACCTATTATGAAATCAATGAGAAATATTGTTGCTAAAGTTATATAAGTTCTATGATTCTGACATAGCATTTGTTTACCAGCCAAAAAATCATTTTAAATACAAATGAGGAATGAAACTTCAAATTATGTTCACGCATCATTAAGTTTCTGTAGCAGCAACTGGAGAATGCATCTTATTAGCAATTATTCCTCACGTTGTTTCTTAAACATCTGCTTTTAAATTATTTACTGTCATGTAAAATATGAAGTCATTCTCTCCTCTATGTGTTTAATTATGTTGTGTAAGATAAGTTGTCCCAAAACCACTTGAGAGAGGGGAAGTCGTAACAGCAAATTTTTAATGTTCTGTTTTTTTAGTGGACATCATCTTCATTATCACTATAGTTTGACAGCACTTTGAAATTTTGAAAAAAAATTTATATTTTGTTATAGGGAATATATTGTATTCAGTTTACTAGAGTAGAAATAAACATATAGGGTTTCATCTAAACAGATTTGACCTGAAGACTGTACCACTCACTACCAATTCTTGTTTCAGTCATCTACCAATACCAGTTGTAGGTATTAGTTACTACCTTATTGTCTCTCTCTCTCCATCCTTACCATGTCACAAGTCTTGGTGATTTCAGTATCCTATAGATAATATTCCAGTATCTTTCAAGTACTAAATAAGACTGATTCCTTTTTGAGGGGATAATTCTGTAATTTTTTAGATTAAAGATTTTTTGAAATCTTATCTTCCAATTATTTTGTTCTCTACCTTACCTGGGATTCTCCTTTCCATGGTCATATTCCAGTCCTTGAGGTTACCCAAAACTGCAATGTTCCCAATAATCTCAACTTTAAGATCCTACTCTCCAACTGCTGCCTCCTACATTTCAACCTCCAACAATTCTTTGACCGTATTAGAACCTATAGTCCATTGATTTTGCTATTTTTTTCAATCTCTCACTTTACCCCACCCCTAACTCACTTTCGATTAAATTGTATGGTCATTCATTGTCATCAACTCCCTTGATTGTCTGCTAAACTAGCTTGGGAAAATCACAACCCTGGTTAAATCTATTCCCCACCTACTTCTTGTCTGCACCTCTGCAAACAAACATTGGTGAAAAAAACACAAACCTTCTTACTGGTTTTACTATAATAGCCTCCTTGCTCTTCCTAAAACATGCCAAGTACAATCTCACTTCAGTCCTTGGCAAATGCCATTTCCTCTGCCCAGAAAGTGCTTCCTCCTCTGTCATTCCCTTCAGTTCTTTATTCAAATGTCATCGCCTCAATGAGGCCACTGTGTTTATGAATGCAACTCTTCCCCTGGCGCTTTATAATCCTCCTTACTCTATCTAATACACTGCATTGATTTGTTTATTTATTATGCTTACTGACTAATGCTCCATGCTAAGTTCAAATGTAAGCCCATGAGGAAGGTTTTTGTCTTTTTTATAGCTGTTGCATTCCAAGTACCTAGTATGCATAAATGGCATTGGGCTTGTGAACCTCAGTTCATACACTTGTGAAATGGAAATACCTCTTATATATGAAAATTAGTTGAAGCAACTTATACAAAATACATTAAAATTTTTCTAGTTTATAAATATAACTTTAACTTTGTTCATTGGATCAGTTCACTGCTGTTTCCAAAATGGAACTAGCTTTCTTATTCTTGCTCATCATAAAAGTTATACATATTTACTGTAAAAATAAATGGAGGCAGTAAAACATTAACAAATAAAATGAGAAAATTATCTACATTTATCTCCCAAAGACAACTGTTAATAACATTTTTCGTATATTCTTCCTTGCACGTATATGCAGTTTTTTTGTTTTAATTTTAATCAAATTTGGAATTATACCGTGCACAATATTGCCACAGTTATACCATGCCACATTCACTCAATATACTCTCTAAATATCTTTTAAAGTCAATACATGTAGATCATCATGCTTATTGGTGAAAAATGGCTGCAAGATATTCATTTATTCATTCAACAAGTATATATTTGTCCATTGTGTCATGCTTTGGGCTAGGTGCTAAGTATACAGCATTGAACAAATAGGCACAGGCATCTGAGACACAATTAGGGAAAAGAGATATTGAACAAAATAAAAACTTAAAAAAATAGTTTTGTTTGGTTTTGGGGGAAAGGATGAAAGTAGAAGTCAGGAGGAAAACTAGGAGGCTAGGGTAGTTTTGCAGGTGGGACAGGACGATGTCTTGAACTAAGATGAAGACAAGTGATCAGATGTGCACTGTGTTGGAAGTCAAATGGATAGTACCCACACTAATAGATTAGGTAAGGAGATTGAGGACAAGGAAGTGATGGGCTGTTGTATCATATGCTAAAATGAGGAGTACTTCAGGAGGAATTGGATTTAGAGAAGATGAGGAGTGTGGGTTTGGACATGCTACGGAGTCCAATGAGTAATGAAGAGGCATAGAGTAGGTGTACGGATGTATGAGAGACATAGGCTAGAGATAAAAATCTAAGAAGTGTTGGCTTATCGATGCTATTTGAAGTCATGAAAGAGGATAAAATTACCGAAAACCAAGTGGAGTTATAGCCTAAGTAGGGAAGATATAAGAACAAGTCCTGGAGTCCTCCAAATTTTAAAGTCTGGAAAAGAAAGAGTAGCAGCTAAAGGAGATTGTGGGGAAGCCAGGATATAGTGTCATGGTAGCTCCGAAAGAGAGAATAGTGATTCAGAAGAGGTTGAGATAGAGTCATTTTTCAAGCAGGACATAGTGGTTATGGTTGAATGTTTCTTAGGCATCATTCACCATATAGATTAAAAAATGTCCACAGATTTTGGCAAATAGGGGTTATTACTCACCTCAACCAGAGAAATTGCATAGAATGAAGTTTTAAGAAACTAGACTGGAGTAGGTTGAAGTGTAATGGGACATGAGAAAGTGAAGAGAACAAGGGTAGAAAGAAAGATCTTTGTGTTTTGAATCTTGTAGCTGAAATTACTCCCCTTGATGGGAGTTTAAATTGTTTTCAGTGTTTACTTTCATTAACAAATAAAAACACATGTGTACCTTTTGCCTTTTTTTTTCCTCATTGTTTCCTTAGGATACACATCTAGAATTAATCATCATCATCATCATCATTATCGACTAAAGAGTGTCAAATTAGCGTAGTCAAGAGCATCTCATTGTTTGGTTGGTTCTGTTCCTTTTTCTTATGTATTTGAAGTTACATTTTTCTTTTCCAGCTTCTACTCCTGCTAGGTGAATTAACAAGTGTCCCCTATGCAAAAGCATAAAATAAGAGATAAATGGCTTCTGGACACCCTAGAAAATTGACTTAAATAAGCTTGATTTCTTCTATCAAAATCTAGATGCAACTGACTTTGCATGAATTATCCTGTAGCATTAGTAGCATTTTCTGAATTAATTTTGTGAAAAGAACAGTAGTTGGAAGTAAACACATCTAAGTCACATGAAAATTTTAGCTAATTGTTTGTTTTACAGAAAATTTACTTATTAACCCATTTTAAGTCCTTATTAATATGGGTAAAAATTTCTCAATAAGGTGATTTTATGTTCTTCTGAATTTTCTTTTTGTTCATGTTAACATTTGTGTTATTTTTCCTATAGCTACTTATAGACCCAGTGGCTTGTTAATATAAGCTAATGTTACAATGAAATTTGTTATAAAAGGTTTTAAAATGTTACTTTTAATTTTTATGTTTTATGTATTTTAGAGTATCTAATTTATTGTCAGAACATGGACCACTGGGATGTGGGGCATACAGATCAGTAGGTGAATGGCTAGAAGCAATCAAAATGGGCCGGTATACAGAGATTTTCATGGAAAATGGATACAGTTCAATGGACGCTGTGGCTCAGGTGACCTTGGAGTGAGTAATTTTTCTGATAATTTTTACATAAATGTTGGGGCAAGAAAAATTGTTCAGCAACCAATCTGGATGGGGGCAAGGGGATCAATTAACCTTTGTCTATGTGCAGTAGCTTTCAAAGAAGCCTCGTCTTTTTTTTAGCCTGTATTGTTAACAACTGCATGGTTAATGCTACTTGTTGCCAATATATTTGCTTCAAAAAAATAGCATTTGAGCATTTGAATAATTGGAGTAGCAGCTCCTTGGCAAAGTACTGGTATTTCGTGTTGTGGAAGATGTTTTCTTGACAAAATTTGAATATTGGTACCTGTGTTATATGAATGTAAATACAAAACAAAACAAACTGTAAGCACAATTGGTGTGGCTAGGCCTATATAACTACAAAACATGTTCTTAAATTTCGGCTGTCTGTGAAGAATATCCAGGTAACAGCAGCTTAAACAAAGCTCATGAAGGCAGGAATCTCATTTCATCTCTAAGTGGTGCACCTTATATCCTTGCAGTACAAGGGTATATTTGATCCTGCCTCAGATTTGTTTTTAGTGCAATCTCAGTGGAACCAATTGTGCCCTTTTCTGTTTGCACGTTTAAGATAAAATCTGTCAAATTTTATTCAATAAAAATCACTAGAGTTAAGTATCAAATTCTTTAAGATTGTCAGTTGTTTGTATTTTATTATATACTCTGTATGTGTAATTATTTTAGCCTAGGATTTATTTGTGAAAATTAACTGTCTCCATGGTAGTTTCATCTAGACTATGTTAATGTTAATAATATTTTAACCTGTGAATTTAATATCTTACTTCAAATTAACTACAAATTCAAAGGTTAGAATATTATAAGTATTAGAACATGGTAGAATATTCTAAAGTGCTAAACCACAGTCTTTATTTCATTACTTCACATAATATGCACATTGAGCGGTTCTCTTTCACAATGTCTATTGCTACAGTGTTCTTTGATTCAGTGAATTCACTGTCCACCCCCACAAAAGGGAACAGGGTACCACCATTTATCACCAGTTAATGTCACATCCTCAGCATTTTTTCTTCCTTAACACCTATAACTAAAAGGACCTAAACTCATCACTCAGCTTGCTCTCTTAATTTATGGAATTCCATTCTCACCATCACCACCAATTCACCTACTTAATCACAAATATGCTTTGACTATTATTTCCTTGGACACAAAGGACTCATTTATGCTATATTTAAAATAGTAAACTGAACAATTTACTGATAATTTAAAACTATTTTTACGATTGCTATTTAATTTTTCAGTAAAATGGTCATTTTAATTTATTAAATTCATTTGTCATTTTATATTAAAATGATACTGTAGGTATTTCTTCTACCCAATGTCAGATTACTTGTAATATATATAATAAAATTATTTGCATTAAATGGTGTCTCTTTTCTTATTAAAATAGCACATATTCACATATGTATATTTGCTTCTCCCTTCAGAGGATATTTTTAATCACAAATAATGGTTTTGCATTAACTGTGTGTGTTTCACTTTATTTCTTTGGGGTCTCAAAATACTATAAATGTGTTGTATATTTTAGCATTATGGTTTCAATTTTTCTTATTTCCTTTCCTTTTTTCTCTTTATTTTGTTTTGTCCCCCTTCTATTCCTAAATTTCCTTCTTTTTTAAATATTTTCTTCCAGGTCCTAATAGCCTCTTCTATCTTCTTTTCCTGGTTCTTCTCCATCTCATCCCTACACTCCAGTAATTGTTCTCTGGTCAATTTTTATCTACTTGGTTCAATTTACTCTCCTGTCTTTATTACTTTCATTAGCTTGCTGCCTCTTGCTGTATTGCCTCCTTTCTTATATTTTGTATTTAAATTCATTTACTCTGACTAGAAGAGTTATATGAAATTTGCAGACTTAGTGACATCTTCCTGTTTAGAGACTATGGCACTGTGTTGGTCCCCTGATGTCAATTGTGTCAGATCCCTATGGTCTATAATCATTAATACATTCCTTACTAGGAATTGGACCAGCAAACCCTAGCTCCAGTGAAGCTGACTTCTTGGAGAGACTGACATCTTTAAACAGAGGTCTTATTTATGGTGGTTTTAACCATATTTTTCTAATTAGTAAGAGCAAATTTATCAAAATATTATTAACTAACTCAAAAACAGGGAGTAAACAGTTATTTAATTGGTCAAGAATTTAAAAAGTGGTCATCTTTGCTTTCTATTTGTACTTCCTCAAAAAAAGTCAGTCATTGCTAAGGACTAATGGTAAAGCAAACTGGGGTACTAGCAAAAGACAAAGACAAACTCTTAAAACATCCTGTTATTGATTTTTCACACATGGTATTTACCAAATATCTAAATATTAATTTTATGAAACCTGTATAATACTATAAAAAATAATAAATATTATTGTCAAAGTTATTGCCAAGACATATTAGAAAGTGGAAAATGGAAGAATATATTCATAGTCAAAAAATACTTAGAAAAAAGTCAGAATAAATTAAGGGAAATGATCAAACTGCCATACACTTACACTAAAGAATATTATAATTTCTACCATCAAATTTGTTTTCATGGGGGGTCTAAAAGGAAGTATAAAATATTACAATTTTTCAAAACCACATAATTTGGTTTAAAATTTCTTTCCTACAGGTTAATTTTTATTTGTTTATAAATTTTTTCCACCACATGCGTGTATAACTTAACATGGAAAGTAAATGAAGAACTTAAAAGTCTTAGATTCAAAGCATGTTTAAGGAAAGTGGCTTTCAAATTTGATATTTCTGTCTGCTATTTGTGTGTGTTTTTTGCTATTTTGTGTACAGCATTCATATTAAAATAGCTATTGTGGCAGTAATGGCACCAATCTGTACTACTGTGTATAAAGGCAACGAGTTATTATCCACAGGGGAAATTATGAGCTTGAGATGAGTTGCAAATTGAGTCAAAAGACTGGAATTAAGGCAGGATAGCAGCTTCTTTTTAAACTTTTTGTCAGATCAGTACTGCCAACTTTTGATTATTCAGAAAACAGAGCAAAACCCAATTTCAATATTGCACCGATTGTAAACTGAGGGGATTCCTATTAGTATCACTTATTAGAATGGGTCTTAAACTACTAAAAATGAAGGTTTTCCCAGTTCAAAGCCAGATTTCTTAACTTACCAATAAAGTCATTATGCATAGTTTATTGTACATTTACAGTATGCAATTGATTATTTACTATCCTCTATGTTCTACTGGAAAACCTCGCAATGTAGTGGTTAAGAGCTACGGCTGCTAACCAAAAGGCTAACAGTTTAAATTCACCAGGTGCTCCTTGGAAACCCTATGCGGCAGTTCTACTCTGTCCTGTAGGGTTGCTATGAGTCAGAATCGACGAGACGGCAATGAGTTTGGTTTGAATATCAACTAGACACTCCTTGTATTTCTGTCACTTTTATTCTCCCATTTTAGCATCAAAATATCAGTGTTTTTCCATTGTTTGATATCACGGGAATACTGGTTTTAAAAATGCTAGAATGCAATAAGATACAATGGCAATTCATTATATTTATAGCTTTTCTAAAACTAATCAAGCATTGTCAACAAAAATTCAAACTGTACGTTATGTAACAATACTATTCTCATGTTTAGATTCACAAACCTATTCTGAAATATAGTTTATCATCATTAGAATTGATCCTGGGTATTACTTAAGATTACGAGTGGTTAATAAAATCAGTATATGGTTTATAAAGTGGACATTCTTAAAATATTGTCTAGCTATAAAATTTCCTATATAAAAAAGTAAAATGAGTAAACTAGCATATCTCACGCCATTTCTAAATATTTTTAAAAGGCTTTTCCCTATTTAAGGCAGTAACTTCATCATTAACTAGTAAAAATTTTATTAACACACATTATTACTACTAAGTTGCTCATTTAATATGAACTTTATGTAGTAAAATGAGAATTGTTGGAAATTGCAATAAGTATTAGATGCTCCAAACCCACTGCCGTCAAGTGGATTCCAACTCATAAAAACCCTGTAGCACAGTGTAGAACTTCCTCATAGGGTTTCCAAGGCTGCAAATCTTTACAGAAGCAGACTGCTATGTCTTTCTCCTGCAAGTATGAGACAAAGCTACTTAAAAGAAAATATTTTAATGCTTTTACCAATATGGTAATAACCATGATTAACCTTTGTTATAAATCCTGTGCAAATATTATTTTAGCCTTCATTTGTAGTATCACTATAAAAATATTAAAAGGATGTTTTAAAGAAACTACTCTGCTTTTGAGAACGATATTCACTTGCATAAATGATCTTGTTTCTCTCACTTTTTTTTCACTGAAAAATCACATTGTATAAAGGTACATGTACTTTACATACCTTAAAATCATACTATTTTCTAAATATTGGCACATTAATATGACGGCTTTTGAAATCATGGCAGTGTGTAACATGAAATGCTGTGTTTTATAACTTCATTTATCCCATTAAGAGACACACACACACACAGAGATTCAATGGGTTCACACCATTTGTAGCTTTAGGAATTATTAGACCATAAATTTATGTTGTAATAAAAGTATATGTTTACCTCAGAAGCTTCTCTCATGTCCCCTGAAGTCATTAACCCCCCTACCAAGGGTAATCACTATCCTCATTTTTTAAACTTCATATAAATGGAATAATATAGTATGTAAAAACAAAGAAAAAAGAATATATGCTTAGTTCACTGGGAAAATTTAAAGGAATTTAACTTAAAATCTAAAGGTATGAAATGTTCTGAAGAAGGGCTGATTTTACTAACCCATCAACATGAACTCTATATCTGTATTTGATAATCAAATACAATGCCTCCCAACAGCCACTCTTTAACATGATATAGATAACATGAAAAAAATAAAATCCAAAAACACTGAGCTAGAATCTTTCTTGTGGGCAAAGTCAGTTCCAGAAAAGCTATACTTGTATCTGATAGAGTGGAAATAAAGAGAAGTCAAACCAGTGAGTTGATGTCATTTAGACAAAATAAGAGTTGGAGTATCAAACACACGCAACTGCACACACACACACATACATGCATAAACACACACACACTATTCACATTAAGACTTTGGTATTATATATACAATGTCTATGTTGTTTGTGTAGGAAAACCTATAAATTGTTTTCTTCAGGTCATTCAGAATAATGTATAATGGTATTTTGCAAAAGCTCATTTCTAATGATTTAATTGGTAGAGCAATTATGACTTGTGCAATTTAAGTACTTAAATTGTGTGTGTGTGTGTGTGTGGGTGTGGGTGTATGTCAATACTTTCTAACCTTCATTCATCAGAATCACCTATGGGTTTATAAAACATATGTTTTAAACCTCATTTTGTTCCTAATTAATTAAATTCTCTACTAGAGATTGATTTCTTTCAGATTAAGGAATTTTAAAATTTAATTCCTTTTTTCTAGCATAGATCCAAAGTTTGCTAGTGAATACCTATGAGTACCTATACCTACACAACTTCTTAATAAATTATATGTGGAAACACAAGAATATTAATTAGCCCATAATCTGAAACTGCCGTGAAGCTTAGAATGGGTTACCATTGCCTCAAAGAAGTATGTGTTTGATTCCCATCATTAGATGTCTTCTTTCTTTTAGAATTTTAATTATTTGAGGTTACATCTGCAAATTTCTCATTTTACAGATGGATAAAGTATTGCACATAGTTTGAAGTCCTGGGTTCGATATCATGTCTGTCTGAATAATGAGAAAATCTGAGCATGGACTTTGGTGTCAAGTGCCTGGTTTCTGCCCCAACTCTGTTACCTACTGGCCATGTTATCTCACCAAGTGATTTCAATTCTTGAATGTTTTGTTTCCCTGTTGATAAAGGAGGATTGAAAAACAAATCTTTCTCATAGAGTTATATGTTTTCCTAGAATATAGGAAGAAGCTGTCTATAAATGTCTACTACTATTTTTATATTTAGTACTGTGGTTCTCTACTAGGTGGATTTTGCAACCCAAATGACATTTGGCAATGTCTGGAGCCTGGTGGTGCAGTGGTTAAGAACTCAGGCTGCTAACGAAAAGATTGGCAATTCAAATCCACCAGCCATTCCTTGGAAACACTGTGGGGCAGTTCTACTCTATCCTAGAGGGTTACTATGAGTTGGGATCAACTTGATGGCAGTGGGTTTGGGTTTTGGGAGACATTTTTCCTTGTCACAAAGAGAAGGAATTGCTGTGATGCTGGCATCTAGTGAGTAGAGGCCAGAGATGCTACTTAACATCCCACAATGTATAGGACAGTGCCCCGTAACAAAGAATTATGTAAACAGTACTGAGGCTGATAAACTCTGGTTTAGTGGAAAAAAGATTAAAAGCCTCTCTTTTCCCTATGCTATTCTGTAATTAGTATTTTATA